GAAATAATTGTCATGTTTGTAAGATGAATTTGTCGAGAAAGAGCATCAGCAACTACGTTAGTTTTCCCTGGACGGTATTTAACTTCAAAGTCTGTTGCCTGAAGGACTTCTAACCATCTAGCTTGTCTCCGAGAAAGGTTGGTTTGTGACTTAATGTACTCAAGTGAAGCATGGTCGGTAATAACTGTAAACCTTTGTCCTTCTAGATATGGTCTCCATAATTTAATGGCATGTACTATTGCAAGAAGTTCCTTCTCATGAACTGGATAATTAAGTTCAGCAGGTGAAAGTTTCCTAGATTCGTAAGCTACTGGTTGTTCACCCTTGCCTTGATCCTGGCTTAATACTGCGCCAATAGCAAAATCAGATGCATCAGTTGTAACAGAAAAAGGTTTAGTAGGGTCAGGAAGAAGTAATACAGGAGCAGAAGTTAATTGTTGTTTCAATTCGTTAAAAGCAGTTTCTTCTGTTAATTCCCATTTAAATGGCTGATCCTTTTGGAGTAGTGAAGTAAGAGGTGATGCAATACTGGAGAAACTTTTGACAAACTTGCGATAGTAGTTGGCAAGTCCCAAGAATGATCTAACTTCTGTAACATTTGTAGGTGCTGGCCAATCTTTAATAGCCGCTGTTTTTCTTGTGTCAACAGCAATTCCTTCAGCAGAAATATAATGACCCAAATATTCCACTTTACTTTGTAAAAATTCACATTTGCTAAGTTTTGCATATAATTTATGTTGTCTCAAAATTTTCAAAACTTGATGTAAATGTTGCAAGTGTTCTTCCTTTGATTTACTATAAATCAAAATGTCATCTAGATAAACAATTACAAATTGGTCCAATTGTTCCCTGAAAATATCATTCATGAGTGTCATAAAGGTGGCGGGTGCATTTGTAAGTCCAAATGGTAATACTGCAAATTCATAATGACCATAACGTGTGCGAAATGCAGTTTTGTGAATATCTTCTTTCTTAATTCGAATTTGATGATACCCAGAATAGAGATCAATCTTTGTAAAATATTTTGCACCAACAACTCTATCTATTAATTCGTCAATTCGAGGAAGAGGGTAACGGTTCTTAATGGTTACTTTATTTAATGCTCTGTAATCAATGCAAAGACGGAGTGTCCCTTCCTTTTTATGTACAAAAAGTACTGGAGCACCAAAAGGAGAAGTACTTGGACGAATAAACCCTTTTTCAAGAAGATCAGCTAGTTGTCTTTTTAATTCATTCAATTCAGCATAAGACATTCGATAGATAGGACGAGATGGAGGTTCAACACCTGGAAGTAATTCAATAGCATGGTCAATGTTCCGCTTAGGAGGTAACTGGTTTGGTAGTGTTTCAGGAAAAATATCAGAGAATTTCTGGAGGATATCTTGGACTTCAGGTGCATAATTCTTAATAGGTGGTCTATTATTATCATCAAGGTTAGCAAGACAAATTGCAAAAATTTCATCACTGGCAGGTGCTTTTGCTAATTGCTGTCGTGAAATAAAAATAGAATTACAACTAGATTCCTTGTGTGTGTTTTTGGAATCAGCATCAACAACGATAGTTTTTGGTCCATATTGAAATGTCAATGTATTTGCTCTCCAATTAATGCTAGGGTTGGCATGGTAGAGCCATGGTTTTCCTAATATGACGTCATAACGTTGTAATTTAATTACTTGTGCCGTTATTCCAGTAGTGTGATAGGAACCTAATTCCAGCTTATTGATGTCAATGATCTTGTTAGTTTCATTCTTAGTTCCATCTGCTAACTCAACAGAAATAGGTGACACATTCTTTGTTTTTAATTGATTCTTATTTACGAATTCCTCATCAATAAAATTTCGTGACGCTCCACTGTCAAGGAGGATCCAAGCATGATGCCCATTAACTATACCCTTAAACCGAAGCAATCTTTCTTGATTTCCTTCTACTTGTGTTAGTTCTAGACTATTGTTAACAAGAGGTGGTTGTTGCTGCTGTTGTTCGTCTTCGATGTTAGCAAGTTTGGCTTTTCTTCTACAGTCCCTTGCGTAATGTCCTGCTAGGCCACATTTATAGCAATTTCCTTTAAATTGTTTCTTGTCATTTCCTCTATTATTGTTGTTATTATTATAAAAATTTCGTCGAGGAGTTTCTACTTGGTCCAATTCCATTGGTACATACTTACCATTACTATTATCATTACTACTGTTATTGTTATTATAATTATTACTACTGCTACTATTGTACTGAGTATAATTATAGTTTCTTTGGGTTCGTCCTGAACGGGAGGGTTTTGTATGTTGATTATTATTTGCAAAGGGTCTTCCCATCCCAAACATTGCAGTATCGTATTGGATAGCACGTGCTATGGCTCCTTCTAATGTATCAGGGGCTTGATACGCCACTTCCATTTTTGTCGCTGGCTTCAGTCCTTCTATGTAATAGGTTACCTGGTCCAATGCTCCCATGTCCTCGATCTGGCCAATTATATTTTGAAATTGAGACGTATATTCTTGCACAGTGCTGGTTTGTCTAAGTCTCTTAAGTTGTTGTCG